ATTTTTCTCGAATTATTGATATTACCATTTATAAAAAAAGAGGATCAAAATAGAAATCATTTTTCGTTGAGAATAACCCCGAGATGACCCCTCAGTTTTGCCCATGCGCTAGCTTCATTAGCATAATTTATAACGATCAACAACAAACAACATGGCGGCCAAAGTAGGTCGGATTTTGCAATCCCGCGATGAGAACGAAATAAACGAATGTTTTATTATTTTGTTCGGGTATTTCATGTCGACAGGGTAAATAAAACATCTCTCATTTAATTAATCTGGTTCATTTTTCTTGTTTTCGGGACGGGAGGAATGTGCTCTTCATGTGTGAGACAGTCCACAGAAGTAGCTATTGTCTTTTTGCTGAGACCGTCTGATGGACATGTTGGTGGTCGTTATACAAAGGTTAAAGTATGAATAGGTCTACAATAGGGTGGTCGCTGGTCGCGTTGGACAGGTGGTCGCTATATCCAGTGTCTTTAACGTGTAAATTGCGAAGGGACTGTACTGAGGTGGTCGCTATGAGCAGGTGGCCGCTCTGCACAGGTGGTTGTTAACACAGGTTTGACTGTATAACGTATTGCTTAAGTGACTAATCTTCTAAAATATCCAGTCAAATTGTGTCGAGCAGTGTTATAATGTCACAATGTTTATCCACAATGGGTTCTATATTTATTATGTTTCCAGATACTGCCATTTTTGTAGATACTTTATTTGAGACATTACAGAACAAGGCATACATGTCTTCAGCAAATTTGTCTCCAGAAACAACCAATGCCAGTGAAACTGCTTCTAAAATTGAAACAATTTCTTCTTCAAAGTTCAAGACAGATGATGTAAGTATAAAGATCTGGTGTATCCAGTGTAAATAATGTGTACTGAACAATTTTTCACAAGATTATGTACCAGTGAACATGCTAAGACAGGTAGTCACTAACTTTTAGAGCTTTTGTTTGTTTGTTTGTTCGTTCATTCTTACTGATAAAACTGCATTCATATCACATCTGGTTAGTCTTCTACCCATGCTGATCAGTGTGTTGATATTTTTCTGAATGCTAGAATAAATTTCTTTATAATCAACAGAGTTGTACCAAATATTGTGTACAGGGCTGTCAAGAATGAAGAGACATAACAATTTCTTTTATTTACTCTGTTAACTATGGAGGGCTGTTACAATCCGAGTCCTAGCATTAATAATGCAATCTCTTTGCCATCTCCATTTTCATTTTCATTCATCCAGCTACATTTTAATAATCAAATTTAAACTTTTCTACATACCAGTCACAAACATAATCTTATTTGATCCAAGCATAGTAAAGGAATTGATTGCAAGTACCTATAATTACAAATTATTTCTGTGTAGGTACTTGATGATGACGATAGAGATTATCGTCGTAGGAGAAAACACAATAATAGTGCAAGTAAAAGCAGAAGTCGGAGTAGAAGTCCCATTAGGCCAGATATTATTAGGTAAGTATACCATACCCTATCAAGTCCTATTCTGTATTTCTGGGAGGACAACAATATTGCTCCTATTTGATCAATTCAACAATATTCTCTGAAACAAGTTCTGAAAGTGTTGTAGCATTAACTATATATTTTACACATCATTTTTGTGAAGCTGTTGATGTTAGCCAAGAGAAATTATCATGATCTTGACGGCTATCATCTGATATGATTATTGTAGGAATAGAGATGATAGATCACGTAGACGTTCTGATGAAGACAGACGTGATAGGTACGATAGGTCTTACCATGATAGACAAAGTGGCTCAAGATGTAAGTATCATTTAAATGCTTCTATTTACGTGGCTCATTTCTCTGATGCCAATCCTCAGAAAACCCTAGAGCTTCCAGATCTTTAATTGATTAGGATTAAGATATTAAATAGATGACAGCAATTCCTGAAGATATTGTTTGTTGTACATTGTAAGTGAGCTTATTGAAACAGCATGCTTTTATTTTCATGCAGCTAGAGGAAGGTCTGATAACAAAAGATTTGACGCTAAAGACTCAAGCCACGGAGATGTCGATGAAAGACACGGTGACATAGATGAGCGGGATAGGTACTCGCTACCTTCCTCGTCTACTACATCCATACCGCAGTCTACATCAGCATCCTCCATCGGTAGTACTGTGGCGGTTGTCACCCACTCTCAGCACAGTGATGTGGATTGGAGATCACAAGACAATGGAGGTTATCAAGACAGGGTTAAAAGTCATGAAAATCAGTCTCCAAAACCCCCTCCCCCTCCTCCATTGCCTCAGCGGAAGCAGCGATGTAGGGATTATGAAGGCAAGTCACTTACATTTAATGTTTTTTTGGAAGATATGGGCAACATCGTTTCCTGGGTTCTATACATTGGATGGGAATAAGGTGTATGTACATAGTTCAGGCAAGCTCTCAGTTGTAATGCTTAAAGAGCTAGTAAAAGAAACAAGGAGCCCAGACTTGTACATTTAGTCAAGTCAAAACGGGGTGTAATAATGGCAAATGAAGATTCAGAGATAACTAGCAGGTGTAATAGTGATTACCCTGTTGAAATTGATGGTAAGAAAAGCATTATAGAATGAAGATGATTATAAAAAGAAATTAATGTGGCAGTGATAAAATGTTAGAGAGTAATGTGGGGTTCTTGGGAAGTCATGCTTGGAGATAATTCTAGAAGGGATAAACTGCATTCAATATCACATCTGGTTAGTTTTCTACCCATGCTGATTAGCGTGTTGATATTTTTTCTGAATGCTAGAATAAAATTGCTTTATAATCAACAGAGTTGTACTAGTTTTGGTGTACAGGTCTGTCAAGAATGAAGAGACATAGCAATATTATGTTATCCTGATTTCAGTAAAAGAAGTCTTTTGGCCAAGTTGTTTGAAATTATGGTTCATTGCCCTTTGCTGAGGTTGTAAGCAGCCAACTAGTGGCCATTTTGTTTTTTCACAAGTCTTCTTCCCATAACTCTGATAAACCATTTTAATAAATCAAGACGTACTGACTTACCTGATCCTCTCGGGTTTTTGGGGGTTTTGATAAAATCTAAGAAACTGACAGCAGCTTTCATCACAAAAATTTGATAAATAAAATCGCAAAATTTGAACAGATTGTTTCTCAGGTGTTGGTAATGTTAGGTTTTATTATGTTTGTTTTTTTTACAGAGAAAGGATTTTGTATGCGAGGTGAGCTCTGTCCATTTGATCATGGCAGTGATCCTGTTGTCGTGGAGGATATTAATTTACCAAATATGCTGGCATTTCCTGCTCCACCTTCTGTTGGACGTGGAGGGCCAAGAATGCCATCTGGACCTCCACCACGACATCCACCACCACAACCCATGCAAAGAATGGGAATGAGAAGGCCACCATTACCATCATGTCCGCCTCCGCAGAGGCCACCCCCACCCCCGCCCCCTACTACAGGTCAGTTTTTTTAAATTGTTGTTTTTGACATTCACTTTGTCATGTGTTTGGGAATTACACTGTTGATTTCATCCTGTCACATTTAAAAATTTATGCATTTTGTCAAGTAACAACTACACTGTAACCTTTTTATAATTAACATCCTTAATAGTTAATTTGAGTTTGGCGTGCAAGATAGTATA